CTGCGTGCTCTTCTGCACTTCGGCTGTAATAGATAGGCTTAGGTAGATGTAGGTACCGTCTTCACCGGACTAWAAMGCCCGGTCATTGCCRCTGTSTACCTAGACTGAAAGTTGCAGCAAWTACAGGTATAATGGCCGGGCGTTCATTCGGGTGAAGACGGTAAAGCAGATCTTYTGTCTCGATTGTACACATCGCGTAGGGCAATGGAGCGAATCTTTTCTTTGATTATAGATAATAATAAAAAGAGAAAAGAAATTGGCAGACTGAAATAATCGTTGATCTGGATGGTATGGGCGTGCCGATCCTGCTCCTCTACTGAATGACACGTGGTAAAATTTCCATGGACGGACATGGCGCGCATCTCAGAATGAGGCCAATGCGTCGTGATACGCTCCTGCAGACACACCGGCCGACACGTCAGCAGTCTAACCAGATCCAGGCACATCAGCAGCAGACACCTCAGCAATGGATCCAGATCCCGACACATCAGGAGACACCTCAGCAATGGATCCAGATCCCGACACATCAGGAGACACCTCAGCAATGGATCCCGATACCGACACATCAGCAATGGATCCGGATCCCGACACATCAGCAGATACGTCAGCCGTGGTCTGGCCTACGTCTCTGGGCAAACGCCGCTTACGTGGCCGTCAGCATGCGACGTGGCGCAGAAATGGCCGCCGGCGCTCGATACACAACAGATGAATCTATCCCGACGGATGTTGRTGCGGATGACGATGGCAGACCCGGTGGGATGTGCGSACGTATGGGCAGCAACCCACGTGGCACAGATCTTGGTGCATGCGCACGTGCCTGTGAGGTCGATCTGTGTACACGTGGCATTCATTTTGAGGTATGGACACGTGGTAGTAACTTTGGGGTACGTATACGACGCAGGGATGACGGTGGCTTGCGTACACGTGGCAGTGACGATTTGGGTGTAGGTACACTTGCCAGTGATGTTCCTGTACTGCCACGTGGTGGCAGATTGGACGTCGACTCACCGAAAGCAATSGAAAGAGTGGAGCAAACGATTGGAGGACACGTGGCAGATCACCAATCAACAACCATGCYAACRRCGATTGGCGGACWYGTGTTCCCRGATGACGTGGCGGCGAATAACGTCGCCGCGGRGGGAGATGCCGTGGCTGATCATGAGCCAAATGAGGTGGTCCCAGATGATGTAGCGGCCGATCACGTGGCGGATGTTGCCGGCCATTGCGAGCATAGRAGCCGTACAAAAGCTCTGCCACGTCGCAGATGGGGTGACGTTGAGACGATGGTACTAATTAGACAGCTAGGGRAGGAGCGATYTCCCTCGAGTGGAGTKSTGGTCCCATCGGCWGYTGTRCKCTCTACGGAGATGCTGGCTCCACGTGGCAAGCAAAGAATGAGCAGAACGAGCACTGMCACGTSGCACAGGGTGGAGCAAGCTATGCGGGACGAAGGATACACGCGAACATGGGCACAGTGCCGAGGACGATGGAACACGCTTCGTCGATGGTATGGACGTGTGGTTAATCACGATTCCCAGCTTGAAGGTGGCCGGCGCAGCTACTGGAGCATGAACCCGTCGGAGC